TCGCTCTCTGTCTCTCGCACTATTTGCCGGACTCTTACTCCGACCCTCTCTACCTCAAACCTAGCAGCCTGAGCGGCCGTGCATTTCCGTAACCGTCCGCTCCCGTTCGTGTATCCAGTTGCCTTTACTGATTTTACGCGACCCCCAAGATTAGCACCTACGGTTGCGTTTCTCGATTTTACGCGTCCCCAAAAATCGACAGGATCCGTTAATCTATTGCCTCGTCTGATAAGTTCCGTCTGAGCTCTCGTTCTTGGTGGAGTTGGGCCTGTTCCACCCTGACTCCCAGTTTATACCGGCTCGTCAGTTCCCGGTGAAAAAGAATTGGCTGGCGCCCGCCTGGCATGCGGATGCACGAACGACGGGTGGACGGCCGAAGGTAACGTAGGTTGGTTCTCGCAGATAGTTCGTTCTCGTATGTTTTGCTATCGGTGTCGGGTCAAGGAAAAGAATTACGTTACAGTTTATATGCTTCTTCCAAGAAATCGAAAATGCATTTTCTAGAATATTCAGGTATAAGTAACGACGCAACTACATCATAAAATTAGTTTGCAACGAAAAATCCTTTGAGGCAGCATCTGCAAAACTTAGCCTAAAAATGGGGCAATCGCATGGGAAATAAGAGAACGAGAACGATCCATGAGGGAGAGAGAGCGGTTTCGAAGAGATCGGTACCACGAATGGGTACGAAGCGCGGATTTACCTGAAACACGCAATCGTATCACTTTCGATAACAACAATCTATTCGGAATCGCATCGTTGATGAAAATTCTGCAAGGTCAGATCGTGCTAACGCTGCGGGAAATTCTTCTGGCAATACAACCTCGAATCAAGGTCAAACAGAAGGATCTGAAAGAGAGAATCGAGCAACCAGATAACAAGTCATCCTTATTCGATTCGCTCAAATACATATTGTTGTAATTAATAAATAAAATTTTGAATTCGACTACATGAACCTGTATGGAGAATTATTCTTGTCGTTAAAATCCTACAACTCAGATTTACAACGTTCTGGAATATTCGGACGAATCTTAGCCCTCCTCCTACGAAGTTGCGTGACGCGCGCTTACGAGTAATTTGACACCTCGGGGGGATGAGGAGACTGCCGTCTCGACGCGAGATAACGTTCGAGGTCAAGTCAGCTGTCGTCCGAAACCTGCATGGGCAGGGTATCGTTTTTCCTGGAATCAACCTCGACGCAAAATTTCCCGAAACCGCTCTTCGACATTGCGATCAAAGGGGATGCCGGTCGTCTTTCTATCTCTCTCTGATTCAGCGATGCTACGCACTACTCTGCGCGATAAGGTTCAAGGTTAGGAACAAACCTTCCTACTGCAGGACTGCATCAGCGATGCGCAATTCTGCGATATGGGGGTCCGTTCAAGGTCAGACAGGCTGAGGGCTGCCGAGCTAAACTTGCACGGTGTCCGTCGAAGCTTCCTCAAGACTCTCCGGGTTGGGGGGCAAGAGGATGCCTCGAAACGTAGCGCGAGAGGATCGTCGGCTCTAGGAGCGACCCTCCGCGACTTAGCACAGGCACGAATCGTCGGAGCTTCTAGAACGTTCTAGAATATTCTAGAAGGTTCTCGATCGTGTGTAATTCCTAGAATCGAGCACACAATCAAGAGTCGACAAATTTCCTGGAATCGATGCTGCTGCTGCTGCATCGTCGATGCGCAATTCTGCGAGATAACGTTCAAGGTCAAAACGGCTTAAGGCTGCCGTCTGAAATCTCCACGAATCTGGAGGGAGGAAGGGGTCCATTGAAACTTCTAGAAGGCTCCCCGGGGTGGGGGACAAGGGGCTCCATCAAAACGTCGCGCGAGAGAACCGTCAGCTCTGGGAGCGATCCTTAGCGACTTAGCACGGACACCCACCTTCGAAGGTTCTAGAGTGTCGGTATAGGTCGGTTACAGGAATCGTGGTCCAGAACCGGCTTTGTTATACTACTACCAACAGTAGCTACTATTCCCAATGACAACCTCCATGTCGTTTTAATGTCGACATTTATATTGTCTATTATTCTTTTTTTACCATTTATTATTATTATTATTATTATATATTTTATAGTTATTAACCATAATACCCTGTGGGAACCTTACACACGTGTAAGCCAATAGGTTGTTTGCTTTAACTTATTTTCTACATTTTTTAAAAAGCGCGTACATTCATTAAATGTTTTTTAACCTGTCAGCCGACGCATCACTTCTAGCGCGTCTAACTTTCATTGATGTTTTATTTCATAAGTCATGTTGCCTTCGAGAAATGCTCATAGGACGACTTCTCACGGCTTAAGCCAGTGTGTATGCCAGTACATGGCCGAACTAAGCCATCCACGTTACAAGAGCATCCTCTATATGTGAAGCAAATTGTCAAACAGATGTTAGAAATACATCCTATGAATGACAGGTAGGAGGTGCACAAGACGTAAAGAAAGAAGACATCCGTAGATGGGACAAATATATAATACTAATACTCAGACTAATTTGCTCTCGCTGATCCATCCTATTTTCTGCTGAAAGTTGGTGGACAGACGGGGGCCAATTTAAAAAATTTAGCGGTTTTACCCGTAGAAGCGAATTCTGGAATTTTTGGTTCACACGTTCTAGGCACGTTCGCGGTGCGATAAGACTAGAAGTTAGCTTCCTCACATAATGCTGCGGTTTGCATTTCCGGACTCGCGTGATTTCTCTATTACATTCCCATATCTTAATTATATGCTTTCCTTATTTGCACATTAGGGTGGTTGTTAAATAGTGTCTGATCGAATTTTCATCGTGCCGTCCCCCAAATCGTTTTCAAATAATTTTGAAAAAATCTTTGAGTCTTTTTAGATTTTTTTTACATTCACCTTCTCCCCGCGAGGGTTGAACTTGTCCTTTTAAAATACATGGAATTTTCAGGTCTTTGCAGTCAATATATTAGTGTGGGACTAATTATTAATCTAAAAATGTGAAACTTGCATAAATTAGTCTTTGAATATACTATAACGTGGGAAAAACTTACCAACCCCCTACCCTTAAAATTTTTTATGGATTGACTCATATGAATATGATGTTATTTTTTAAAGTTATCTAATGATGCTCAACAGTATCGAAAATATATTTATCAATGTTTTTTGTCTTTTTTTAACATTATATATGGAAAACCATTTGAAAAATATATTTTTGATGCGTTTGAGCGTAATTCGACAAATAAACAAAAAATAACATATTCAGATGGGTCAATTCATACTAAATTTTAAGGGCAGGGGGTTGGCGATTTTTTTCCTTGTTGTAGTACATTTGTAACGTAATTTGTCCAGGTTTCAAATTTTTAGACCGATAATTAGTCCCACAATACAATACTGACTGTAAAGACCTGAAAACTCTATGTATTTTAAATGGAAAACTTGAACCTTGTATGGGAAAGTTAACTATTATTTAAAAAATTGAAAAAATTAAGGAATTATTTTTTATTTATGTGGTAATGACTTGGGAGGCGACACGATCGAAATTCATTCAGATACTATTTAACAACCACCCTATTGCACATATGTGAAAGAGTCAAAGTTCAAAGGCACGGCACGTGACAGTATGACGTATCTCTATCTCCTAGTGTTCTGTCGAATATACATTGGCGACTAATCGGATAAGAGCGTGTTAGAGTATCAGTTTAGAAACATTCAAGTTCAACCGAAGGTAAACAGTATTCAAAAAGCGCATTTGTGACGTTTTTGTGGTTGGTCAGTGGTGGTGTAGGATTGGTTTGAAAGAGGGCAGATGAGAGCAGCAATGAGAGCATTCAAGTAAAAAATCGCGGACGAGACGGAAACCAACCTTTTCGCCAACGGTGTCTACTCACATCCTCACAGTTCTGTTTTATATTAAGTATTATAAAATAATCGTAGTTTACTTTCTAGTATCTAATGATTCTTCTCTGGTCCACTGTATGTATATCGCCACACGTAATTCACTTTGTTTAATTCTACGAAATATGAACTTTTAGTATCACGTTATTCTTTCCCTTGTCTATTTGTTAATATCTAAAACAAGCGCTTTATTTCCGATCAGCTGAGATAAATTACGTATGATTAAATATACATAAAACATATAGCATCTTATTCAGGGATCGCTTTTATTATCCTCTAACTACCATAATGCTTTTGTGGGACGTGTTTCCACATAATGTTCGAATACTAGATTAGCCGAAATTGTATGTTTTACAAATTTAAATTAACGGACTAATCAAGAAACTCGGTCGAGTTTCGCGCCAAGTACAGTTTCAATTGATGCAATATTCCTGAATAACCCTATATAGAAAAATCGAACCCGATAATTACGGAGTATTCTTCATTCATTCCATGTTATTCGGGCAAACATTTTTTAAATAAATACAACAGTGTTCTTTAATAATATCAAGTATAGATGTAACATACAAGAATATATATTACTTAAACGTCATAGCTGCTGAATTTACAAATTTAAACAAGCTATTGTATATAACCTACCTTAAAAATGTAACACTTTCTCTAGACATTTGATACTCTAGCCATACGTAAATTTCATCGTAGTAATTTACCATTAAAAATCATAGTCAACTTAAAAAACGTTGAATAGATAGGTTAGAGCTCGCAAATATATTTATCACAATGATTCAATATAAAATGTTTTAATAAATCTCAACCCATTTGTATGAAAACTTTCTTATTTATCGCTTTATTTGTAGGTGTTTTAAACTAGAAGAATAATGTTTACTAAAGAAGAGAGTAGCAGTCGTTAATGCACGATGACGTGGATTGACATACTAAAATGTGATATTTTTTTCGCTAATTTCAAAAATCTGGTCTGTCAAGATCAATCATTCGGCTTCTTGTTAACGAACTTCAAAGAACAGAAACTACGAAAAATGAATAGACCATTTGTATCTGCAGGCATCATACAGTATTCAAAAAAGTAATTGAAAATAGTATGAAAGTATCAAGTCGCTGTCTAAGTAGTGACTTTGACATACCAAGTTTTCGAAATTTATGAAAAAAAATCTTGTCTCCCTTTTTTCTTTTGTCGGCGCACGTAAAGGCGTGTGACAACCATTTTCTCCTCTTTAGTGAACATTATTATTCTAGTTTACAACGTCTACAAATAAAACACTTAATGAGAACGTTTTCATACAAATAAACTATGATTTTATAAACACTATGTACATTTCCCTACCAATAGTTACTCCCCTAACACAATGTGGCTGTAACTAATGTAATTATAAATTACACTTTAGAATGTCGAATGAAAAGGTGACGCAAGATACATTAAACAAAAAAGACCAGTTACCCAAATCCTAGCAAACGCAAAATAATAATTACATACTGGTCATGCTGCAATTTATTATCCAGAGATATAATAGATATGTAAACAAGGAGTGTTTTTAACTATTATATACTTGAAAAGGATATTTATAACTGCCAATATGTAACTGCTACTTTGTGTTTCCCAGAATATGTAAATTTTTTATATCAATTAAAAAATTTAACTACCTAATGCTTCCTTTCTTAAAAAACTATTTTTTTCAAGAAATCGTAAGAAGCATTTATAACGCCCCAACTAATAAATGATCTCATATAATTCAAATGCACTCCTTTATAAAAATGAGACAAGCTTTTGTTTCTCGAAACGTATATCTCTCGTATTACTACTGTAAACTTTTCGAATTCTCCACCAATTTTCGATTGCATATGTACTTTTATAACATTTAATGGATAGAATACAGTACTTGTGAAACCACCAATTATTGCACCACTAATAAAATTGACTATCACCGTGTCATGCTTATTCATTAAAATTTTTGACTGATCGCGTAAACTAAAGAACATAATATTGGAGAAACTATTCCTATAGATAATGGGGACCATCCCCCGATAACACTCTAAAACACCATAGTTCATTAATATATACTTAAATGCATGAGAAGTATTTCGAAATTTATTATGATAACGCCAATCCTGCAGCAGAGTTTGTATTCTTTCTAACGGCATCAAAATTGCTTCCGATGTACCCGCGATATTTGCAGCCAATATTTTTGATAAACCTTTTTTACCTGTTAATAGGTATAGTCTTTGCCGACAGCCTTCGTATACACTAAACATTATACTTAAGGATAACGTTTTTTGGCATAGTGGTGGTAGAATCCCGCGATAAAGTAGCTTTATGCCTTCCTGAGATAGCTGATGGACAGCTGTACCTGATGGTATACCTTCCAACATCTAAATAAAAGTATTTACTTATTATATGCCATTCTAAATAATGAATTTAACAATCCCTGCTTCATTTAAACTGCTATTCTAATTCTAATGTTGCACACATATGCTTGATAAATGTGTTTAAAAATAAAATTCATGGAATAAAATTTTTAACAAAATTTCTTATGTCAAACACAAAGCTAAGATCTAATTTTACGTATACTTTAAGTAAAATCAGGGTGATGTAGTTTATAAAATAAAACCCTTAATGCAAATAAATAAAAAATGTACACTATCGTGTGCGATCATTAAATAACTATTTAATATTCTTAAGAAATATCTAATCACTTCACGTTACATTTATATGCAATTTTGGTATATTCATTTAATTAAAAAATATCTTATAATGGATAACTCACCTGTCGAAATACAATCTTATTGATTGGATATGTAACCGTAACATTAATGACAGCAGCACCCCATCCACAAACAAACTCCCTAATATCATTAGAATTAGGTGCAAATAATTTACTCAAAGGAGCTTGCTGCAGACTACTGCTATTTGTTTTTTCGATGCCATTAGCTTGAACATTAGGGAATACGCATTCCCCCTTAGACGTTGGCCACATCATGCTTCTTATATATTCTTTATATTCTGAACATTAATTTCCTGAAAAATGAGAAGAAAAATATTGTGTTATAAAAACATAGCATAGTATATAGAAAGTCATCTGATAAAATCATAATATAGAAATCACGATTATACCTACTTAAAGTAAAAAGAGGAACATATAGATTTATTTAACACACAAATTTAAAAAATTAAATTTTCTTTTATTAATAAGATATTAGAAAAAAATGGTACCAAAAAAATATGGCAGATTAGAAAAGCAATAACAGAAATAATATTACATAATTTTAACCTGCAAAAACACTCATACATACTAAGGAACAGCATGTCGTTGTCTGTACTTATTACACCGCGTGATTAAAACTCAACCCATTATTAACAATTAGTTTGCTAAAAAAAATAACATAATTTACGTATGTTAACATTCATCCATATAGAAAAGACAGGGAGGGCTGCCGAGGTAGACTGTGCCTACTTGTGATCGGTTACTATTGGAAGCAAGCGCAGTGATGTAAAAGTGCTACGTAAAACAAGGAATAGTAGTACCGATCATGTTAAGGCACAGTAAGGGAGGGGTCAGCTTCAATTTGATTGGTTATGCAGCGAAATCACCACCCCCCTCATTTTTCCACACGCCCCTCGCCTAAAATATCAGTTTATGATACATCTATGTCTTTTCTATATCTATGGTTTTTGATGGTCACAATTTTACTCTGGTTTCGACGCGCCACCTGAACGAGACTCTCAAACTAGTTCCACGTTTCTGATTGGTCTAATGAATTCGTATGTTCCTCGAGATCCACGATTTTAAACCGGGTGACACTCAAATAGGGAACCTTGTATCCACCTTTTTTTTTACAGAATATTACATAAACCGTAGTTATAAGGTAGTCAATACTCTTAATATCCATATGAAGCTCTGGAAATAATA